AAATAAATAAATAAATAAATAAATAAACTAATTAATTAATTAGTCTTTATTTATGTCGAGGCTCAGGCTATATATCCTGCTCTTCCGCCTGACCACTTTCACGAAATGTTTAATACAATAAAAAGAAGGTAATTTGGATGAGGATTTCTCACATTGAAGACAGGAGTGAAAGTGAGGGAGGAAGGAGTAGATAGAAATGAAAATACTCTCACAGCATTTGTGACATTTTGTTTATTTATTTAAAGTTAAGGATGTATTAAAATTAATCATAAATATATCAGGTTTAACGCTATGATATTTTACTCTAATTTAGAGAAATTATATTTTGTGACTCAGCATGTTAGGTACAGAAGTGGATTGGAAAGAGCTTATTTAAGTCAGTGAAAGGTTAATAAGTTCTACTAATTATTTCACAGAGACTTTGAAGTAGCTAAGATTACGTACGTATTTTTTGAATTACCTCTAAACAAAACTAGAGAGGGAGGGAATGTCATCAGCATATGAGCGAACACACGAGTCAAGAGTTCAAGCCTTGGAAGAAATGGAAAACATTAGAAGATGAAGTATTTCGTAAGACAATTAACAATAATATTAACAATATTAATAATATGGTACAACTATGTTAGTATTATAAAATTATTCAGTTATTAAATTAAGTAAAGAAAGGGGAATTAAAAAATTGGATACGATCAATTCAGTTTTGGGAAAGATTTTCAATTTAAACACCGAACTAGAAAAGTAAAAATAATGAAAATTTAGGAAATATTTTCCAATTGGAATATTCTCAAGACTTGAAAACCCAATCCAACATCTCCCACCTTTAAACCAAAGATGCATACTACATTTACAATTTTTAATGCAGAGAATGTTAGTGGTTTTTAAATGTCTTTCTTTAGTGCGAACAAGGACTTCAGTGCGAATTTAAAGGACGTATTTTGCACTTCCTCATTAGCGAACCCAACTGAAACTTGGCAAAATGTTTTCACCGGGGGTCACTGAACCAATGAACATCCAACAAAATAAACGATTTTGCATTAATAAAACCACAATGATTATTACTCTGCAAAATTTTCCTCGTCCAAAAGCTTCCGGCAAGCGGCCAAATCTGTTGGATCTCCTCTACTTCGCTCGACAGAATATATTGCCCCCAATTATGCAAAATCGTTCTCCTTCTGCACGAATCGTGACGTCTTCGGCTAACTTGACGTCAGAGGAGAAGGCGATGGCCTGTCGGACCAGTTAACGAACGGCGAATTCCGCGCACCCCCTCCCCCCGCCCCAAGTCGAAGCCCTGCGGCTCGGAAGACAGCGTGCTGTCGCAGCCCTCTCGAGCACCGCCTCCGCCCGCGAACCGGCTCTCGCGCTTCCGAACCGGCTCGGCGCACGTCAATGAACCGCTCGCTCAGCTGATATAAAAAGGCGTGCTTGCACGCGAGATGCACCACTCGCCTTCCAGCTTTCTGTGCAGATCTCCGAAGTAGCGACGCTCCGATCTTCACCCCGCCATGAACCGAGGTCTCGCTCTCGCCCTGGCCCTCGCCGCCCTGGTGGCCGTCGCCCTGGCCGCCCCCGCGGAAGAGAAGTACACCGACAAGTACGACAACGTCAACCTGGACGAGATCCTCAGCAACGAAAGGCTCTTCAAGAAGTACATGGAGTGCCTGCTGGCCGACACTGATGTACACTGCACCGCTGACGGCAAAGAGCTCAAGAGTAAGTAGCGCTAGTCATTGCAGCACTAAAGTAAATGTTCTTACCTCTAGTATCTCAGGGAAAATATCGGAAACTGAGGAATATTATTAAGGAACAATGTTGATCATTCGTGATTATGCTTACGGGCACATAAGTAAACGGAAAAGTAATAAAGAGGTGTATGTTATTTACGTCAACGAAAGAGATCTCAAATAAATATGGTTCATTGCAAATTCTCAAAATGGTTATAATATATTAAATATTTATTAATTTAATTTATAATTACCAATAAATAATATTTAATATAATTATTTTATATTATATTAAATATAAATATGGTTTATTTACAATATATCTGGTTTATTGCAAATGTTCGAAATATAGTTTGTAGTGTTTAATTTTATATATTTACCAAATGTGTTTATGCAATAAATATTTATTATTTCTCCGCCTCGTAGGTGAATTAGCGTATATTATAAGCATATAACTATGAACTGTCTATTTTTAGATTTATCGAAGTTGTCGTACTGTCGAGAGGTAAGGGCTAGGTAATGTTCGAATATATTTTTTGAATGGCGTGAAAGTACAAAAATAATTAGAGAGAAATATTATAAAGGTGTGGGATATGTTTCTTAAAGACGACATAAATCTACCAGTTGACGATCATCCTCAATGTCTGACGCAATATCCTGATACATTCGCCATCTTCTTAGGACATCCTCGAGTATTGAATCGTGCACTTTTTTTAATTTGGCGTTGTCCCCGGTAGCACAAATACGACCCCAAAGTAATCCACAACTTTAACAAA